CCTAAACCCTAAACCCATCATCATTAGTAGCTCCAAAGCATGCTCAAAGTGTCACTCCCTTTCCAGGCCTCTGCCGAGACGGGCGCTGCATCCTTAGAGGGTCTTTAGGGTTTAAAGGGTTCATGTTCAAAGGGTTTACTTTTTTCTGGGACCTTGGTTTAGGGTTTAGGGTTTAGGTTCTCCAGGGCATGAATCCCTGGGTTTAGGGTTTAAGGTGGAAATTTAGGGCGACATAGTCGCATGAATGGTCTAGGGTTCAGATTTGGGGTTTAGGGCAACATAATCACATGAACCGCCATTTTCCTTCAGCCACGTTCAGCAAGACTTGCATTGCCATCAATTGCACTGGAATCGCAGATCCACGAATCTTGAGATTTGTTTCCTACCTTCGAGGGCTAAACATTAAGCGCACTAGAGCTCCCTAAACCCTAAACCCAAACCCTAGACCCTACCCCTAAACCCACATGTGCCCACAAACCTCAAACTCACGAGTAAATTGAGATTTTCTGTTCTTAGCCCTAAACCCTACACCCTAAGTCCTGAACCCTGAACACTAAACCCTAGACACTGAAGCCCTAAACCCTAGACCCTAAACCGAAAAAACACCACCAAAAAAGTAGGGCCCCCTCCCAGGTCTGGGCCCTCCCGCCCACGCGGGTCGGTCCAGGGAAGCCGGGGTTCCGATGCTGCCAGCGCGGCCCGGAGATCCCGGGACCGAAGGCTCCTCCAAACCCATCTTCTGTGATTGTGATTCGGATTTTTGGGGAGTGGAGTCAGGGTTTAGGGTTAGGGCTAAAGTTCAGGCTTGGGATTTAGAGTTTAGGGTTTAGGGTTAGGGTCTAGGCTATCTGTACACTACTCAGACCGTGATAAATATGAGGGTAGCTCAAATGCAGAAGAAAGAAGCTGACACAAGTCGTCGCAGTCTGCTGTTGCTATCTCTCTTCCGCCCACCCCACCCCCTAAACCCTAAACCCTAAACCCTAAACCCTAAACCACCAGCCTCTTCAGCGTCCTCCCCCTGGAACTCCTTCAGGAGGGAATCCTTCAAGGCACCATGCAACTTCAGTCACTCTCCCAGACGACCATGGCATTCCTACAAAGTCTACTAACGGCAAACCTACAAAAATCCGGATTAGACAACATCTAATCCCCGCGTTTGACTCACCCTAAACCCTAAACCCTAAACCCTAAACCGCTTCAACTGCCGTCCCACCTTGAAGCTCTGCTGCTCGCGGTGCAGTTTTTTGGCGCGGTCTGTGATGGCCTGCAGGCATTCGCGGAACTCGAGGTCGTGGATGTACCTCTGAACGACAGCCGAAACGACACCATAGAAGCATCAGCGGAGCGCTGATCAATCGAAAGAAGTACTGTGGATTCTTTGAAGCTCTAGTAGTTAACATGGAATATGTGGTGGTCAGCATCGAGAAAAAAACTCTCAGGCTTTGCAGGGCATTGCCAGCATCACAGCTGCTGGGCACTCGTCGTAGTCCAAGGCCTCAGCGAAATCGATCAGTTCTCCGGCGTTCTGCTCCTCCCGGTCCTGTCAGTCTTCTAACCCGAAACCGAACTGACGCCGCAAGACAAGCTTCAACTCCTCTGAGGGGCCAAGTATATGGTAGTTTCCCTAAATAGGGGTATCCCAATATAGATTTGATATGGGGACCCCCGAGGAAAAATGCCCCTAATTTTGGGAACAAAACCATATCGAGGTTACAGCTTCCGAAAACCCTTTCAGATCAAGGTCGCTGGGACCTAAAGCCCCACCTACGAGCACCTAGACACTGAGGGGTCCTGAGTTCTAAGCGATGACAACGAAAAACCCCCTAAACCCTGCACCACCCTAAACCCTACACCCCAAACCCTAAACCCTCAACCCTAAACCGCGGCTTGTTTTGCAGCATGGCTGCACTCCCTCTGCAAACTCTCACGAAGTCCCGCTGAAGCAAAGGATCGTCGTTTCTGGCTGTTCAGGAACTTACACTAAGTTACCCCAATATGGGTACATGGGGTATATAGTGTTGTTTCGTCAGACTTTCTTCTGTCTAGGAATTAGGCTTTAGGGTTACCAGAATATGGTATATGGACAGTAAAAAGGTTGCCTTACTGCAGTAACTGATTCGAAATTCCTTTACAGCAGCCCAGAAAACCAACAGCAGATGGCACAGGAGAATGATTACTGTCCGTGGGGGACAGGCAGGTAATCTATCAGCATCCATTGGCAGAAAGCCCTTCCCTCTTAGAATACCATGCGCTGGATATACTTCATATCTTAGACTTACGCAATCACTCTCTTGAGGATCTTGCCATGTGCCCCTAAACCCTAGACCCTGAACCCTAAATCCAATCCTAAACCCCAAATCTTAAACCCCAAAACCCAATCCGATAAGGCTAGCCCCTTCCTGCCTCTCGCTCGGCGTCCGTAAGGGCCCAGAGAGGCTTCAGCTTTGCCTCCCAAGAGGGGTTTAGGGCTTGACGCTTAGGGTTTAGAGGGCATTGGGTTTAGAGCTTAGAGGGCTTAGGGTTTGGGGCTTACAGGGTTTAGGGTTAAGGGCTTATAGGGTTTAGGGCTTGGGCTTTTAGGGTTTAGGGCTTACAGGTTCTAGGGTTTAGGGCTTATAGGATTTTAGGGTTTAGGGCTTATAGGTTCTGGGGTTTGCGGCTTATAGGGCTTAGGGCTTAGGGCTTTTCGGGTCTAGGGCTTAGGGTTTAGATTTAGGGCTTATAGGGTTTAGGGTCTAGGGCTTAGGGTTTAGGGGGAGTGAGGCTTATGGGGTATCGGGCTTGGGGCTTCAGGGCTTTAGGACTTCAGGAAGTAAATTGCGCAGAGCAAGACTGGGGGTTTCCCTTGAGGACACACGATGCGGAACACGTGGGGTCCTGATGCTCTGAGCCATGGGCATCATGCAGAAATTTATACATAACAAAAGTTGGGCTTTGCAGTATACTACGTACAAACTGTAGTGTACTAGACTACGCTAAACTATACCTAAGATATGGATTAGAAGAAGAGAATGCTATTGGCGAATGTATGTGAATGTTGAGGCTTCTATACATACGCCCGCTGTATTCTATATCTGCGTTCTAGGGACCCTCAAAAGAAGTCCCTAATTTTTGGATACCCCCCCCCCAACATTCACCCTAAATCCTCAAACCTAAAAAAGCTCTGCAGAGTCTGCCTTGGGATTCAAGGCGCTGGTGAGCTCCTCTGCACGTGCATCACCTTCATATGGGAGCTGATCAGAATGCAAATGGGCGATGGGCGGGCCGCCTAGGGATCTAAGGGGTACATAGAGATTATAAGTATACGGAGATTTGGGGGGTCGTTATTAGGACTGGACTGAAATAAGGATGAACTTGAGAAGTATCCACATGGCTTTCGCAACTCGAAACTCATGGCGTGGCCTACGTACCCTCACTCAGACCAATATGGAATCACGAATCAATGAGGACATCAGTCTTTGCCTCCTTTTGGACTTCCATGCTAGTCCAGGGGGACTGTAGATGCAATCCCGTAACTGCATAGCCTGGCAATTTCCCAACATGGAGTACCCTTCGAAACCCCAGGAACATATAATGGAGCCCGAAGAAGATTATATGCGTCCTCTTCGGGATCTGAGAAGTTCCTGTGGATCCCCCAAAACCACAAACCCTACGCCCCAGACCCTACACCCTCGTGCCGAGATAAACTTAGGGTTTGGGGCTTAGGGTTAGGGCATGGGTTTATGACACTAATTTAGGGATCCCAAATTCAGATGTCCTTAGCCTTGAAATGTCAATATGCCAAAGTTCTAACTCTGAATGCAAGATGACCCCGGAAACTCAAGGTACTTGCACTAAACGTTACTACATGGTAGTCTCCCTAAATAAGGGGCCAAAGATGGACACCAAACCACTCGAATCCTTACAAATTATAGGGATCCCCAAAATGGTACCCCTGATTTGTAGGAGACACCCACAAACCCTAAACCCCAAACCCTAATCTCTAGAGCCTAAAACCCTCATCCCTACACTCTAAAATCCGTAGACCCTAAACCCTGAACCCCTAAACCACTCAACCCCAAACCCCAATATAACCCCTACATAACCCCAATATAACCCTAATATAAACCCTAATATAAACCCTATATAACCCCAATATAACCCCAGGATATACCCTCATCCTTAAACCCCAAACCCCACTGACCAGCCCCTCTAAGCGTAGACCCGACTTCGGAGGCGTACCAAGCTTGAGGAGCCGTAGCGCTTCGCGCTGCCGCCGAAACACCTGCCACAGGCTTTAGGGTTTTTTAGCTCTAGGGCTTGGGGTCTATAGGGTTCAGGATTTAGGGTTTAGGATTTAGGGATAAAGGGTCTAAGGGTTTAGGATTTAGCGTTTAGGGTCTAAGGGTTGTGTTTGGTCATAGAATGGAAAAGAAAATGGAGTTTACTGTTCGGGGGTTCGAACTTTTAAGAATGGGAAATGAAGCGGCAACTGAGAGGCACATAGCGATATATGACCACATACGGAATTTTGAGTTTACTTGCTGATGGTCGGAAGGGAATGAAGGACTGGAAAAGAAAACAGAAACTATCTTGTTGTTAGAGATTCCAGCGGGGCTACCATAGGGATCCAGTCCTCCATTCCCGACTAACAACCGACAAGCCAAACGATCTGCGTTTTGGGGAGCTATGGTTTAGGGTTTAGGATTTGGGGATAGTAAAGGGTTTAGGGAGCTATGGTTCAGGATTTAGGGATACGAAAGGTTCGAGGGTTTTTGCTTTTGAGGTTTGAAGCCTGGTATGATGTTTGAGATTTCCCTTTTCGTGCGTGCTCGCTTTTTGCTCAAGGTCCCAGTTTTGGTTGTAAGTACGTATAGGGTGGTGTAACATCAAGAGCACTAGCTCCAATACCCCAAGCCTTGAGTGCCGAAGGCTAATTACTTGTTCGGTCAGGGGAAATTCGTAAGTATGTATACTCACATAGACACCTATATTCTGATCCTCCTTACTCACCTACTTTTTTAGCTCCCCTGATCCTGGAAGTAGCCTTCCTAAACCCTAAACCCTAAACCCTCAACCCTATGCCCTATGCGCCTCCTTCATCCGCTGCTGTTTCAGCTCCTTGCCACGCTCCGCTTCCTCCGCCGCGGCCGCATCCTCACATCCGAGTCCGTCCAGGCGGCTTAGGGATTAAGAGTGTAAAGAGTTTAGGGTTTAGGGTTCATAGGGTTTAGGGATTTAGGGTTAAGGGTTAAGGGTTTAGGGGTTTAGGGGTTTAGGGTTTAGGGTTCATAGGGTTTAGGGATTTAGGGTTCATAGGGTTTAGGGATTTAGGGTTTAGGGTTTAGGGTTAAGGGTTTAGGGGTTTAGGGTGGAGGGTTTAGGGGGGGAGGGGGTGTTTAAGATTTGGGGCCTGTGTTTGGGGTGCACAGCGCAAGATTTACATGGTCTATAGTTCATGGTGTAGGTGGTGAGATGTATGGTTCAGGGAAACAGCAAACCTTAGTAGAAGGATTGAGGTAGCATCTTATCATTCTGATGACTAGGACCCACTGTGAGTTATTACACATACTTACCCACCATGGTTCCTAAACCCTAAACCCTCATTATATTCTTCACTATGCTGGTGATTGCTCATATTTGTCCTCTAAGCTGTAAACCCTAAACCCTGGCCCTAAACCGTAGGAAACACTACAGGAGGCCTTCTCTAACCTCAATCGCGTATATTGCGTATATCATGTGGCCATGTTCCATGCCCCCAAACATACCTTGCCATATCATACTGGTGCTCAAGAAGGACCACAACCTAACCCTAAACCCTGAACCCCAAACCCCAAACCCTATAAACCCTAATCCGTGCGATGCCCCATGTCACTGTCAACGTTGCAACTGCAACCTATCGCTTCCTATTGCCGTTCCCAGCACCGACGCCCAGCGAGGGCCTGCGCAACCTGATGCTGCAGCTCCTCCACAAGGACCCCGGCTTAGACTTTGGCATTTCAGTTGAAGATCTGAATTTAGGCTGGATGGTACAGTCTCTAAACTTTAGAGGTTAGGGTAATGGTTAGGGCTTCGGATTGAACAGTCTAAGGGTTCTTGGTAAAGTGGTCAGTCCAGCTGTTCACTCCCGCCCCCGGCTGATACTCAAAGTATTGCAGCGATGCACTATGCATCGAGTCGACCCCGGCTTTGCTGTCACTTGAAACCGGTAGGAGTCATATAGGGTCATATAGGGTATGTTAACAAGGTTCAAACAGGGTTATCTAGAGATAAAAAAAAAGGTCAAATTGGGTTCTATGGGGGGTGCATAGGGTATAGGGTTTAAAGGTTCATGATGCACCTTGATCACACATGTTGTCAGAAGGCTGTTTAGGTGCCGAATTTTTGAAGTAGTACCGAGTCCTGAGACAACAAGAATCCCTGACATGCTTCACCCTGTTCAACAACCGTTTAGCTAACAACAATGCAGCCCCTAGCGCAAATCAGCAGCACTCAAATTCTCCGAAACGCAGACGCAAAAACTGCGGCCCTGCTGAGTCATGTCCATGTCCAATAGGGTTTAGGGCTCAGGGTTTAGGGTTTAGGGTTCAAGTATGTTGCTACCATTGAGGGTAGTCACGGTTGCCATCAGTCGGACGGTTGAATACTGCTGTAAGAATAAGAACCGGGGCATTTCTCCACAATGGGGTAATCACGCACTCACATGTACCATAATCCTTCTTCTAGGGAATTGCATGCAAAGAAAAATCAGGAGTAATGAACGCGGTATTATCATGTAGTAATTTCCAGACTTAGGGGTCCCCTCATGAACATACGCCAAAAAAACAAGCACCCCTTACTTTGGGAAACCCCCATCTGAGCATGTTGAAACAGAATGGGCACCTTTACCCAGCGGCAGTGTCTCCGTAGTGCCGCGCTGGGCCCTCGGCTTTTAACCTGCGCACAACTGTACTGCTGACTGCACAAGGGTTCCTACGGAGTTCCTTTTTGGGTTTGTTGTGGTTTCTGGGTACCGGGAGTACAATATCCTACCCGAAGTGGGGCTACACAGAAGGATCTGGGCTGGTTGTTAGGGGAATGCAGAAATCGTGCTTGGGATGTCGAGGCAGGCATGCTGGTTTCTGCTACGTGCTTTCTGCCAACGCTGCTGCTACATCTTCAGATGATAGAGCTGCAATCAAAATTACTGCTGCTGCTACTAACACTACAACTACTGCTCCCACTTCTCCCTCTACTACGTACTTTTACTACTCCTACTTGTACTTCTACTCCTACTCCCCCCTCTGGTCCTAAGAGGTCTTGATGTTGAGGAGTTGGGGCATATGGTACTGGGTCTATAGGGTCTAGGCTGTATGTCTATATACACGCAGGACCCATCTGCGGAGCCACAATGCGTCTTGTAACGGATTCCTGGAAACTATCTGTGTGAAGGCGAGTATTCTTATACAGTGATGACTCACTCTGAGCTTTGCAATCTGCAACTTCTGAAAAGATGCACAACACACGGAGCTCCAACTCCCAAGAGCTACTCGCGGCATTCCTCGGCTTCCCATGGTTTTCTTACTGGTGGTCAAGGATAGTAACTTTCGCCGGTAGCTTTAA